AGCCTTGAGCACTGCCACGTCGCCGGAGCCGCGGCAGAAGGTGACGCTGCGGGTGCCGCCTCCGCCCCAGCCCTCCTTCTTCACTCGGAACTGTAGTCTGTGGGGAGAGGAGGAGACTTAGGGGCGCCCCGCGGTCTCCTTCCCCACGGAAATCCTAGACTAGTAGTTGCTTAGAACTGGGAATGGAGATGGGGAAGGGGAGATAGTGGGATAATGAAAATGTTCTAAACTAAACTACAGTTATGGTTGCACATATTTATGAAGACACTAAAAACCATGAGGCGGAGGCGCAGGTCGCCCGGGTCCGCGGGGTCGGAGAGGGGGCGCTGTGCCGGGACCACACACGTGGTCCTCCACACAGGAGGAGGGTGGGGGGGTGCACCGTACGTGTCGCTGAAGGTGAGGGGCAGGGGCCTCCGCGCGACCTCCTCGAAGCGCTTGCACAGAAGGCTGACGAACTCGGTCTTGAAGATGCTCTCCAGGAAGCTGTCGGCAGCGTCCTCTTGGAGGATGAAGAAGTCGTCCTGTCGCGTGCTGGGGAGGGGCGGGAGGAAAGGCAGGTGAGAGCGACAGGTGAGGGTGGCCGAAGAACCGACTTGTGAGGTACAACGGGAGGGTCAGGTAAGAAGCAAGCGAGGGGTGACACAGGTGGGCGAAAGAGAGGGAGGTGCAAGGAGCTGGGGAAGGTGGTAATTAGAGAACGGCCAGGTGAGGTCTAGGAAGAGGGTAAGGTGCGGGAACAGAAGCTGTTGGCAAGTAAAGATCATGAGTGTAGGAGCAGGTGAACGTGACAGGTAAGGCCAAAAGAGGGCTACAGGTATAGCAGCAGGTAAAGATGGTCAGGGTAACAGATGGGGTAACAAGTATGGGGGCAGCTGAGGATCACAAGGGGACAAGTGGGGGAGACTGTCGGGCAGGTGGGGGCCTGGCGTCACCTGAGGGAGACTCCCCGAAGGGCCTGGATCTCCAGCTTCTTTTTCAAGACTTCTCGCACGTGGCCCTTCTCGGGTCCCTTCTTCACCTTCTCCCGCCCAATCACATACAAACACTTGGGTGTCAGGATCAAGTCCCTTTTGATTGGCTGTGGAGAAGCAGGACCAGAGGGTGATGGCTGGAGTCCTGGGCATGGACAGCCCGGCCCCAGGGGATCCACCCCAGGCAGAAGTGTGGTGCTAGCAGGTCAGGTGAAGGTGTACAGGTCAGTAAAAGGGGTGGGGGGGGTCTCTCCAGGTGAAGGTATATGAGTTATTAAGTTATGTAAGAAACAGAGCTGGCTGGTTAGCTCAGTTGGTTAGAATGTGGTGCTGATAATACCAAGGTCCAAGATTCAATTCCTGTACCAACCAGCCACCAAAATAAAATGGTTAAGTGAGTGTATATTGGCTAGAAAAGGGGGTCTGGGCCAGGACAGGGCAGGTGAAGCACCTGCTGGACATGGGTGCCTGGTGGACCAGGTGACAGTACTTGGGTCATATGACTATAACTGACTTAGGTAAAGGTATAATATTTCAGGTGAGGGTGTACAGTCAGGTAGCTAGATAAGAGTATCTGGGTCATGAGAGGGAGTAAGGAGCAGGTGTGTGTCTGAGCTATATGAGTTTGTACAGGAAGGCAGGTGAAGGTGTACCTAATGGAAGATGAATATACGAGTATATGCATGTCTGCTGAGGTGTGCTTGTGGTCAGACTGTCTGTGTCCAGTGGGGATACCCATCAAGGTGAAAATATCCTAGGCGATATGTCTGGACAGGTGAGGGTGTATCTAATGGACAGGTATGTCTGGGCTACATGAGGGCATGTCTGATAGACAGCTGTATCTATGATAGTTAAGTGTATACACAAGTGAGGGTGTACCTGTGATGGGACAGATTTTTTTTCTTTTTTTGCGGCTGGCAGCTACAGGGATCCGAACCCGTTACCTTGTTGTTTCAAGGCTGAGCCCAACCAACTGAGCTGACCGGCCAGCCCTGGGGCAGATGTTTCTAGGCTAGGGGAATATACACCTGTGGGCAGGTGCATCTGGGCCAGGTGAGGGTGTACCTGTAATGGAACAGATGTATCTAGGTAAGGAGAATATATACCTGTGGACAGGTGTGTTTGGGCCAGGGGAGGTGTACCTCTGGTGTGAGTGCTAGGCTGGGGCTAGTGCCTCACCTTAAAGCGGCGGTCATACTTGGTGACCGAGTCAGCGAAGTCCACACGTTCCCTCTTGCCCAGGAACTGACGCAGCTCTGGCCGCTCCTCCAGCCCCAGGTAGTCCCCAACAAAGTTCCGATTGATGCTGTTCCGCCTCCGTTCCTTCTTGTTGAGTAGGATATTGGAAGCTGTGGGAACACAGGGTAGGGGGCAGAGGTCATGACATGGCTCCACCAGGTTCATGCTTCCCCACCTTGAGCCTCCCACTCGGAGCCTCTTACCTTCCTCCCGCATCTCCTCATACTTCCGCACTGCCACGTGGCGCCGCCAGGCCTTCTGGATAGTGCGGGCAAAGCCATCAAACTTCCGCTCTCGCATCTCCTCCAGGAGGAAAAGCTGGGCAAGAGGGAGGACTGGTGGATCTTGGCATCTCCCAGGGGTGCAGTCTCTGGTTTCCCCTGGACCCACCCCACCCTCATGATTCTGCTCACACACATCCATACACAGGCTGATACACTGTGGTCAAAATTTTTTCTTCCTTTATTTTATTATTTATTTATTTTTTCTTTTCTTTTTTTTTTTTTTTTCCTTTTTGTCTTTTCCAAAATTTTTTCTTCCTTTATTTTATTATTTATTTATTTTTTCTTTTCTTTTTTTTTTTTTTCCTTTTTGTCTTTTCTCGTGGCCGGCAACGGATTGCAACCCTCAGTGTCGCGCCCGTACCGGACCGGGACCGGCAA